ACATTTACATTAAAAATCACAACTAATAACGTCCCCTATACTTTCTGTCACAGAACGAGCGCTAAAAATGGGCGCGCCGCCAAATTGTCGCGACGAAACGCCCGAGTGGCGCCGCGAGGTCAAAAGAAAAAGAAAACAAACATCTAAAGGCTCCCCGGGGCGCGTGCTCTCCCCTCGGAAGCGTGGCTTCGCCGACGAACCTCCTCGCCCCACATCGGCGGCCGAGATAGCCCGCGAAAGTTCTAGAACGAAAGGGGCGTGGTCATACCGAGTTGAGTCATCGGCCGCGGAGGGCATTCCAACCGTCTCGCCCTCTTCCCAGCCTTCGCTGCGTATCGCGCCGACGAAATGACGAGAACAGTCTGGAATGTCGCGCGCAAGGTATTTAACCGAGCATCCGAGATGAGAGATCAGGAGAAGACGGAAGTTAACGCCAGAGCGCGTAGGGTATACCGCCGTGTGGTCGGCGAAGGTTTGGTCCGTAGGGACAAAGCAGGAGAAGAAGAGGATTTCCACCTGAGGGGTGAAGGCTCGAGCTACAGGCAAGAGTGTGTGTTTACCGCTATCGAGCGAGGACGCGTGGCGACAGCAGCGTGAGTGAAGCCGACGTGTTCGGGCGAAGAAGTTGGGAGCTTGGAGAGTGGCCAATTGAAGACGCGAGGTTTCCTGGAAGAGAAACTTCGAGGGCGCGGAACGACAACAACACCGGACTTTGAGTGAGTGATTCTCGGAAAAGTATCATTCAGACTTTTGTTCCAACGACTTTGGACTGAATAGGTTTTATATCTCTTTAGTCTTTAAGTGTCTTGGTTGTTCAATGCATGCGACTGCATTGTAGTGCGTATCGTTGTCTGTGTCCGTTGTTTTGAGTGTGGCTGATTGTACTGTGTAGTACGTTGTTTGATTGGTGACGTATTGTATGTAACTATTGTGGAGTGTGCATTCTTGTGTGTTGTTTTCGATCTGCCATTTTTGAGAATATAATATTTGTTTTGTTTATCAACTCTCGGCTCTGACTTGTTCTTTGGGCCACAGCCGGCGTCTGCTGGCGCGCCAAAAAGGACCACTTCTAAATTGTCCACGCTTTCGTGGTGCGGTTCGGGGGGGCCAATACTTCAGCCCTTGGAATTAGCCCGGCGATCGCCTCCCTAATTAACGGGACTGGTGTGACAATTAATCTGGCGTCCGCGACAGGATCTTTTGGTGCACAGTGTGTCCAAAGTATTGAGAAAGAGCCTCGAGTTGTTGATAGCGCTATCGGAACGATTTTGTGTGTTGTTCAGTGTTCTCGTTAACGAGTGCAGGGGAGTGTTCCGATAGACTGATTTAGGCAGATACTTTTTGCACGCGGCAAGGTTTTATCTGCGAGTTGCGAGACACCATGGATCTCGAAAAGTTAGTCGCTCTTGGTGAAAAGATGGGTCTTTCTGGTGCCGAACTACGGAAGTGGGTCACCCAGAAGGAAAAAGAAGAAAAAGAGAGGGCCAAGGAAGAAAAAGCAGCTGAGTTCGAACGAGAGAAGTTGGCAGCCGAAAGGGCGAGAGAAGAAAGAGAAGCGAGGGAGCGACAGCTGAAAGAACAAAGAGAGGAAAGGGAACGGCAGCGGCAGCACGAGATGGAACTCGAGCGGCTCCGTTTGCAACAGCGAAGTGAAACTCCCGTCCAAGCTAGAGTTGAAAGCAGCGAACGGGAAGATCATGGCTTCCGCTTGAACCCAAGCAAGCTGCTCGGGGCGTTTGATGAAAGGAAGGACGATCTTGACGCGTACCTTCACCGATTTGAGACGATTGCGAAGAGCCAGAATTGGCCGGAACATCAATGGGCAACTGCTTTGAGTACTTGCTTGAGTGGTGAAGCGCTCAGTGTGTACGGTAGGCTGACGCCGACCGATGCAGCCAACTATGCAAAGGTGAAAGCTGCTTTGCTGAAGCGATTTAGATTTACTGTAGAAGGATTCCGGGACAGATTTCGGACAGGAAAGCCAGCTGATGGTGAGACGGCTACACAGTACGCCGCCCGACTTAGCCATTATTTCGACAGATGGATTGAACTTTCAGGGACAGCACAGGAGTACGATGAACTTAGAGAGCTCCTAATTAGAGAACAATTTCTTACTAGTTGCCACCCAAGCCTGTCGCTGTACTTGAAAGAGAGGAAGGCTGAGTCACTTGAAGGAATGCTTGAATTGGCTGATCAATTCTTGGAAGCGCAAGGTGGAACTAATTTGGCCAAGGTCAAGAAGGATTGTCCCGATGATTCGAAGAAATTGGCTCCCGAAGAAAAGAAGCGTGCACCAGAGAGCATTCCGCGATGTTTTCTGTGCAACCGAGTGGGTCATCGCGCGAAAAACTGTCGAACGATCTTTACGAGCCCTACGGCAGTGAAATGTTTCAAGTGTGGTCAGACTGGGCACAAAGCAGACGCTTGTCGGAACGGAGTGAGTCAAACTCACCAGGTATCTTGTGTGCAAGCGGCACCGAAATCTGATAATAATGCCGTCACCGATGGATTCGTAGAGTTGAAGAATGGGGAGAAAATTCCTATTGCGGGTGCTGTAATGTCAAAACAGCCAACCGGTGTTACGAAAGGAATGCCCACGCTGCCTGGAAAAGTTGCAGGCAAGAAGATTACGGTTCTAAGAGACACCGGTAGCTCCACGGTTATCGTGCGGAGAAATTTGGTACGGGAAAGTGAGCTAACAGGTAAAACTAAACCAGTTTGCCTAATTGACCGTACGGTTCGGGTGCTTCCCGAAGCAGAGATTGAGGTGGAAACCCCGTACTTTAGCGGGAAGGTTACCGCTCTATGTATGACGACCCCCCTTTACGACCTTGTCATCGGAAACATCGCCGGGGCGCGAGGACCGAATGATCCGGAATGTTTGGGAGAAGACCCTAAGATAGAGCCCTCGCCAACCCAGCGACCGCGAGATACAGTGGAGGAGCAGCCCATGACGGATCTCACTAGAGCCCAAGGTGAAGCCGCGGTACAAGAGACCGTAAATGAGATGATCGTGTTGAATGAGTTCACGGGCCGAGCAACTGGACTTACGTCGGCACGACCTCAACCGACCGACAGTGTAAAGGAGACGGAGTTGGCCAGCCGGGCAAAATGTAGAGACATGATCAAGCTGGTAAATCAACAGACAGGACCCGTTGAATGTTATGACCTGTTAGCAGTGTCGGAAGCGACAATGATGGCTGAGATGCCACCTCAGGTATCGTCGTTGGAAAGGGCTCGCCGAAAAAGAACGTGGAAACACAAGAAGAGATCGAGCGAGCACCGCAAGAAAGGGCGCAAGCGCCGCTCGGAATGCACCGGATAGGTGTCGAGGTCGAATCTGAATGTGCTTGGCAGTGCTGAGTTCCATATTTTGTGTTAATGTCCTTGTTGTCCTGTGTCGCAACTGTATGTTGAGTGAGTCAAAATGTTTGTTTTGGTAATGTGATGTATAGTAATGATGTGAGTATAGTAATTGTTGTAATGAGAGAACTTTATGCATTTGTATTGTTTGGACTGTGTGATGAAGTGTTGTAGTCATGTGCCTGTGGTTATATTTCATGTGTTGTGTAATTGAATTACAATGTACAATTGTATTGAGTGAACTATTGCGTATGTGACGTGTCATGAGCGACGGACTATGTTACAGTCTTTGAGTGTGTGGGGACTGTTCGCGCTCGTTTGTGTGGTTCTGAATATTATTAGATAATATCCTTAAAGTGGGGGGCAGTGTCACAGAACGAGCGCTAAAAATGGGCCCGCCGCCAAGTTGTCGCGACGAAACGCCGGAGTGGCGCCGCGAGGTCAAAAGAAAAAGAAAACAAACATCTAAAGGCTCCCCGGGGCGCGCGCTCTCCCCTCGGAAGCGTGGCTTCGCCGACGAACCTCCTCGCCCCACATCGGCGGCCGAGATAGCCCGCGAAAGTTCTAGAACGAAAGGGGCGTGGTCATACCGAGTTGAGTCATCGGCCGCGGAGGGCATTCCAACCGTCTCGCCCTCTTCCCAGCCTTCGCTGCGTATCGCGCCGACGAAATGACGAGAACCGTCTGGAATGTCGCGCGCAAGGTATTTAACCGAGCAGCCGAGATGAGAGATCAGGAGAAGACGGAAGTTAACGCCAGAGCGCGTAGGGTATACCGCCGTGTGGTCGGCGAAGGTTTGGTCCGTAGGGACAAAGCAGGAGAAGAAGAGGATTTCCACCTGAGGGGGGAAGGCTCGAGCTACAGGCAAGAGTGTGTGTTTACCGCTATCGAGCGAGGACGCGTGGCGACAGCTGCGTGAGTGAAGCCGACGTGTTCGGGCGAAGAAGTTGGGAGCTTGGAGAGTGGCCAATTGAAGACGCGAGGTTTCCTGGAAGAGAAACTTTGAGGGCGCGGAACGACAACAACACCGGACTTTGAGTGAGTGATTCTCGGAAAAGTATCATTCAGACTTTTGTTCCAACGACTTTGGACTGAATAGGTTTTATATCTCTTTAGTCTTTAAGTGTCTTGGTTGTTCAATGCATGCGACTGCATTGTAGTGCGTATCGTTGTCTGTGTCCGTTGTTTTGAGTGTGGCTGATTGTACTGTGTAGTACGTTGTTTGATTGGTGACGTATTGTATGTAACTATTGTGGAGTGTGCATTCTTGTGTGTTGTTTTCGATCTGCCATTTTTGAGAATATAATATTTGTTTTGTTTATCAACTCTCGGCTCTGACTTGTTCTTTGGGCCACAGCCGGCGTCTGCTGGCGCGCCAAAAAGGACCACTTCTAAATTGTCCACGCTTTCGTGGTGCGGTTCGGGGGGGCCAATACTTCAGCCCTTGGAATTAGCCCGGCGATCGCCTCCCTAATTAACGGGACTGGTGTGACACTTTCTTTGGCACTATTGTTCGTTAGTTCTCATTATTATGGCTTGGTTAGGTTAGTGGTAACTGACAGACAATGATGCCAAAAAATATAGATGTTATTATAAAGTAATTTTGTTGTAACTCTGAAGAAAAGTGGACGAAAAGTTGGCGTGGGCAGGGACTGAACCTGCGACCTTCGAATATTGCATCCGACACTCTACCAACTGAGCTACCATGCCGGCCATCCCCCCGCCCAATTTATGGGATATGTATGTGCATTTTAATGTGGTAGTGTCAGTCAGCGCTGCCTGGTGCCATTGCAGCGATTGTAGGACACTCATTTTTTGCCTATAGGTATCGTACAACAGGTAATGTTCTTACGGCTGGCAGCTGACTAATATTCCCTGGCATACTACCCGATGACATTAAGTCTGCCAGAATGAGACCCTCGCTAGAAATAAAAAAATTAGGGTTTCTTTAAGGGCGTTTTTTTGTTAGACAACATAATGAGAACTGACTGGCAATTATGCCAAGGAAAGTGTAGGGGATGTTATTAAAGTAGTTGTAATGTAACTGTGAAGGTGGCTTTAGCCGCAATCATTATGTTGCTTGTAGCATGTGCTGTGTTGCTTAGCATGTGGGAGCATTGCACAATGCGAAAGAAAGTATATGAAAAGCCAGACCCACCAGAGCAAGGCTCCCTTTGACCCCCGCTTTCTAAATACGAGATAGCCTTCAATTTTTTATTTTTTTAACTGACACGAATAAAGTAATACTTTTTAGTGTCCTTGAACCACATGGTCTGCCCTTCTTGCATTTCACCTTGTAACAAATCTAGTGATCAGTGCTAATGCCAGGCAACGTTCGAGAGGAGTTGCCGAGGTCAATCAGTAGAGTGAGCACTGGGATATCTAATAGGTGTGAGCATCCACTCACCGGGAGCCATTACTTAACCTCCAAAGATACTACTACAATTTTTATTGCTTATGGTCTTGATTACCTTAATTTCTCCAAATTCTTTTTGGTGTTTACTGATTATAAGTGAACTTGAGAAAAATTAAGGGGCTGATACAGGTAGTGTCGTTGTAGTGAAAGATTCAAGTATAATGTTGACAAATAGCTACAGCGCAATTGTGCACTAGGGACAGTTGCATTCTCGATGAGATCAGGAGGAAAAGCACTGCTAGAAAGCTTGTAGCTTTTAGCAGTCATGATGCAAGGTGAATACCTGAATTTACGGTGCTTATTATTACATTGTGCTGTAGCAGAAATGCTAACGCAGCTTCAGTTAACCATTGCAGGGACCCTTTAGGTGCATCTCTTTACAACCAACTAAGAGAACGCAATTGGTGCGCTCCATTTTAATAATAACCAGAAACGCGGCACAAGTATGCTATCACAAAACAGTTACTCCATGAGCTAAGTGTAGCATTGTTTGAAAGTCTTATATGAAGTAACTGGCAATGTCTTATACAAAGGAAGATGATGTATTAGCACACAAATAATGTGTAAATAGTGTAACATGAAATCATATTACTGTTTCTTTGTGTCCACTGTGAAACTGCTTTGGTAGGTGGCAGCCCGTTGTAGATGCTTGCCGAATGTAGTTGTACACATGTGTCAGTGTGCTCCTTCTTATTTGGTGAACATCTGAAAACACGTGCTTGTAATAAAAGAAAGTGTTCATGAACCACACTGTGCTTTCGTGTGAAATAAGTCTTACTGCTTTCGGCAGGGTTGTGTTCTAGTCAGGCAGAGGTTTCAGCATAATTGCTGTACTAATTTTACCACTGGGCCTAAGCGTACTCATTGTAGGGGAACGTGGTCTTCTATGCTCTTCGTTATCTCATTAGAGGTTGTAGCAACATCTAAAAACACTGCTGTTATATAGAGCATCATGAATTGCAAATGAGTACCAACATTTCTCGTTGCTGTTGTCATAAAAGTCCTTTTGTCTAGCTAATGTCAATAAAGAGGCTTCATAAATGCTGCTTATATAGTCTAACTCCTATATAAGATACACTCATATAAGAAACAAAGGGGCATTAGAGAAACCAGTGTGTCTACTTTAAAATAAGGTTGATAAGAAAATTCGCATGATTCTTCAATTGCTCCCAAGTGCATGTCTCTTATACAGGTGCTCAACGAGGTCCATGGCCAGAATTAAGGGTGCCCTAGGGGCCTGCCCTACCCTCCTTGAAATTTGGATGGAGGAGTGTGTTCTACCCAACATGAATAATGAAAATACGGGTTTTCAAAGGCCCTCAGCAGGTGGGCCACTCCTGAAAATTTTCTGGCAACGAGCCTGCATTTACTTGTACAAGCTCTTATGTGCATCATTATAAAATCTGCAGGTTGCCCCGTAATGCATGAAAGTGTCTCTGTAGGTTTTTCACAGGAACGGAACTGCCTCATCACATTCCTACAGTTTTAAAATGCACAGGTGGGAAAAATGAGCATGCACTGCAGAATGGACCATTTGTGTTCAGGCAAAGATACGTGAATTGTCATGAACTACTCTACAGCGAACTAGCTCAGGCTGACCTCTCTGCCTTCCAATAAATTCTCACAACTACTCTTAGGTGAAATGTTTCAGGGAACTAAGGGGCTTAACTTCCTTTGTTGCAAACATGAAAGGGCACACACAACCCCAGAGAACACCTGTCTCACGTGGTGGTTTCAGTATGCGAACTAGTTTGTGACTACATGCCCATACCATTTTTAAAGATCACTGAATGCTTGTAACACCTGCAAAAACTCTCGCCGAATGAAGGCAAGTATGTGACGTCAACTTGAGCAACTGGCTTTTCTTCCTCAGAAGGGAAAGACCCGTCCATTTGGACAGATGTTTCAGCAGCTGGCTTTATTTAACGGGGGAAGATTCATCCATTCGGACAGGTGTTGAGCCACCGAGAGGCTTGAAACCTCTAAAGCTGTGGCACTGAAGCAACATCGGCTGAAGCTGCTACTGCTGCTTATGTGATGAAGCACCACACTGTGTGTGCACTGCGGATTCTGTGGTGAAGGCAGTTGCTGTCTGTGTATTGGCCGAAACAAGCACCTTCAGAGTCATGTTTACCTGCGTAGCTTAGATGGTTATGAAATACTCAAATAAACAAAACTTCTTCGAATGGTGTCATGCCCGATCGTTCATCATCATGCATTATTTCCTGCTAGTTTTCTTTGTTTAGGAGTTTAGGTGTGAATCCTTTAACTGAACAGCTACTGCACATTTTACGCCTTATACGTACATTTTTCAACCTTTAGGTCAACTTACCAACAGACCGGCATTCCATTGTCTTCCGAGTTGCCACTGTACTCGTGGTTGCCTTGTGCACAGTTTTTTGTGTGGTTGTCTGGATGTGAGGTGTTGATAATAAACGTACTATGTTACACCTGCACTTTTGATAAACTATATTTTATACATCATACTGTCTTTGTGGCCATTTGGTATTAAATCGCTTTATATAACATAGCTTGTGCTTGTTTTAAACATCAGCATGCTTAGGAATATTAAAATGCTTCTGGCTTTTACGTTAACTTCCCTGGTGCCAAGCCATGTTTCAAAGAACACAAAATATTTTCTCATCTGCGAGCGGAGAACTGTGAAAATCGAGCTGCTTTATACGGCATCAGCTAGTTGCACAGTGTGTGGCTGCATAAGAAAGGTGTTACTGAGGCATTTTCCATAATATGTAGCAATGCTATGCAACACATATACATTCCACTCTAGCTTTTATGCAGTGCCAATGTACACAAACAGAGCAGGACTAACTTGGCTAGCAGAAGATACCAAGACTGTGCCACACTCTCCGACACTTTTCTGGGGCAGTGTGTGATGCTGAAAAAAGCAGTGATTTCTTTTTACACAGGCACAATGGATGACAATGGTTTTAAGTGTTGTCTCTGCATTTCCAGTCACACATTTTATGTGCATTATTTCCGTATACATAGCATGAATCGTTTTATGTGTGTGTACCAAAAACATGCTGCCAAGAAATGTTGTATAATACTCAAAGAGGCCGGAGTGTTTATTGTATTAGTATAAAAACTACTTTGGCATTATCGTTTTTTTCCACATCACTGATGGAATAAGCATATTAACTCTGCATGCAGTTCCACTAATGAGCAGTTCTTTTTTTGATGAGCTGCCAAGTACTTCTTAGATGTGCAGCCAACACTTCATTGCGCTGCTGTGATTTGGTGATCATGCATTATGGTGTAAACAAATGGAGTATTGCAGTTATACAATTAATTTATTAATTAAGAGACACTGTTGTACAAATATCTCTCGGATTCTTTGTTTTTCTGAAAATATGCTACAACGTAAAGCTGCTTGCTTATATTCGGCCCCGTAAGCAGCCCCATAAGCTTTTTGCATGAATTTCTCCAAGCACAGTCAATGAATTAAACCACCCATCAATCGGCACACTTTCTCTTGCAAGGCTGCTTTTAAACATACATATATGCGCATTCACACCGGCAAATAAATGAACAAATAAAGCATATGCGCTACAGTTGAAGCATAAGCTTAAACGCACTGTGGACGCCAGCACTGTGAGACGATTTTGTAGCGCGCCGTGCTATTGCTATTTGGCATGAATAAAACACGAGCAATCAGACCGTAGCCTATCAACGCCGTCGAAGACGTGTTGCACTATTGCGGGGCTTCTTTGAGCTCATCATGTATAACTTGCATGCCGTACATTTGAACCTGCATTTTACAGCTGGCCCTACAGCGTATACACTCGTGCAAAAAGGCAGCCTGTCATTTTATAATCGCATCGCTTCTGGAAATCGTGAACCGGCGAAGGTCTTTCAGCGTGTATACAAATATTGCAAAGTTGACCACATTGCATGAAAGGGACACAGTTGTTATTGTTATAATTAACGAGGTTACATAGTATTTTCTGAACGCACACGTGCGAACTGCGTTTCCAGTGCGTCTCGCACGATCCGGATCGACCACGAACTTGCCTTTTCAACAGGAAGGAACAAAGACGGCAGTGAATTGGATTTGAGGGGATGCCTCCACATCGCCACAGAAGCACATAATCGCGTTCGCAGTCTTCCAGCTTACCCTCTAAAGACTCAGCGTGCAACGTATTGCACATTCAGATTTCAGCGCTTCATAAACAAAATGAACTAAAAGCGAAACCAAAACAGAGTCTACAAGGTTGGATGGACGGATGTGCCTTTACCCTTTAGATCCGGCGGCGGCTAACGCTACCTACCCGTA